TTGTATCTTGATAACTAGGTATTGTAACTTATTTATATCCTAAGTTGTTGTATATTATTGAGCTGTAATAATATAATCTGTGAAATAGAAATCTTCACATCTCTTAGTGACTGATGCGTATAGAGCTACAAATTTATGTATAGTGATACTTTAGTGTGTATAATGAGTCAGAATATCTTGTCATTAGACGTCTAGGAAAATTCATGTGTATTTCTCCATCGTTTCATTCTATATTTTGTTTAAAAACTTCAAGTCAAAACTCATTTTTTTTTGTTCAGTCAACAATCACTACTCATTACAGTCACACAGATTATTGAAGATTAAACCATAGTACACAGTTTTGACGATGAACAAAAAATATTTAAAAAAAAGTGAAAGTTCTATCACGAATGTTGACGACAGTCATACGAAAGAATTTTAGAAAAAAAGGCTCGTCTCATACTCCTCAATGTGTATGTAAGACATTAAATATAACGTCATTCTGTCGTCTGATATTATGAAATTTAAACAAAAAATCAATGAACGAAATTTATTTCTTCTAGAAAATTCGCTTTATTTAATATATTTTATCTTATCAGTTTCATTAGCTTTTCGATGAAAGAGATTATCAGTAAAATTATAAGATTTGAAAATTTTGTTTAAAATGTAGACGAATAGTTTATACAAAATTTTGCTTTACACAATAACATTACATGTAAAAAAATAACATTTGAGTAATCCCATTGATTGTTCATGAGGTATTCTCTAGATGCAATAGTGTGTTTTACTGACGAACTAATCAAATTGTAGGTAGAAATTGTGATAATGGAGAGCATATAAGAAATAGATGAAATCTGTCGTTATATCATTAATTAGACTAATTATATTTCCTAGCACGCTCAACGAAAATGAACGGTGAAAAATGTAAGCCACAGTAAAACGATGCGAACATGATCATGTCAGAAAATGATAGAAACTAAACACAAACTAAAGGTGTATATTGTTTAAACACGAATCATGCATTTCAAAAGGGAACTTGAGGATTCCTGCTATTGAAAATCAGTGACGTAGAAGTATGAGTAGCCATTCCCATGGTCAATCAGCATTTTTGAATGCAGTCTTAACCGTTATTACTAATTTCTATTCCTTGAAACCTAATCTTAACCCAAGCTTCTAACCTCTACCCTGGATTATAACCTTAGATCCTAAATCAACTTCCTAACCCTAACCTGTTTTCGATTTTAATAGAATTAATTATTTAGCTAATATTACCTACTTTCTGGGTTTATTCTCTCAAGGTCACGGAAAGATATATTTTCATTGCTTTTACTTTTCCAAAACTTTCCCTTATTTGATTTCTTTAAAGAAACTGAATTTTTCTTTATATAGATAGGAAATGTTAGTTTATTGTTACTTGTCATAGGGAAAGTTCAACAACTGATTTCTTTAAATATATTTTCAAAATGTTAATTTTTACTTGAAAGGTTTGAATTTTTAACCCTTACTTTTGGTTAACAATTTATATAATCATAATAATAATAATGATTATAACAATGTCAAACATGAATAGAGAGATACATCAATTTTAGACTTTATAATTTTATCATTATGTATTTGGTAAGTCAAATAAATAGTTAAGAGTTCGACAGATGACCTTGTAGTTTAGTAGCAGCATGTAGTTGTTAAAATTAAAAATCTGTATGCTGTAATGCAGTGGTTACTTATCACAATAATTGAAACATTGGACAAAAGAGTATATCGAGAAAAAATATTTGAAATTCAAAAATATCCTTGATATATTAGATATAAAGAAATCAACTAATTTAAAATCTTATTTTACTCTAGTTGAACTAATATTGTGTCAGTTAACTCACTGATCAATTCCCTTGTCTTCAATAATTTTCTAACTTAAAATAAAAATCTGGGATATTAAATAAACCTATCGATCAATGCCTTCTTTAGTTATCACTTAACATTAATTCGTTTCATTTTGATAACTTGCGTAATTGTTTATGCATGATTTTCGATTTTATTATTCGTTACTTTACTTTTACTTTTTATCGAATACAATCGATAATCTATCAATAATTGGTGATCTACAACTGTGTCAAACCAAACACTATAATTGTTGCAAATTCCATATCAACAAGTATATATTTTTATATCTGTATTTTAAATGGTTGCATTCCCCTTGGATTTGGTTATCTTTTAGATGATTATTGTAAAATATTAACTGGAAAATCACGTGATGTCATTAGTATATATATATATATATATAAACATTACATTACGGCGTACTGAAGATTGTTAGGCTACCCATTGAAATCATGAATCGATCAATGTTAGATCACCATTCGAAACCTGGGAGCACTGGACGGCCATTTCGTCCTGGTATGAGACTCATCAACAGTGCGCATCCACGATTCCTGATCGTCGCAGAATTCAAATACAGGACCTTCGGTCTTGCCGTCCAGTGCTTCTAGGTCTCTGATGGAGGTCTAACATTGATGGATTCATGATTTTAATGAGTAACTCGACACTCTTCACAGCCTCGTAATGTAATTACATGTGCTCACTACTCGCTAGCTCCTTGAGGAATCTCCTCCGAGTTGTAGTGAGAAGTCGTGACCAGTTAAGTTCAACCTGTTTGGGTGTAGATAATAACCACTGAAAACAGGTTGCGCAATACCATGAATCGATCGAAGTTAGAGATGTATATATATATATATACATATATAGAAGGAGAGAGAGAGAGAATAGGAAAGTAATGTATAAGTTATACAACTCAGAGTTATTAGCAGCTGATATAAAGTTTGTGATTAAATCAACTTGGTTGTGTCACAATGTTTGGACGATTTCACGTTGTCTTCTTATCTTATGAATATGATAATTAGTAAAAATATGATTAATGATAGGTTTTTTAAAAAGAATAGCACAAGAATAAGGCTCGTCAATGAAAAATATAATCGTCAGTGAATAGCAGGTTTAGAGAAAAATATTGTTTCGGAGTATTTAGTAAACCAGCAGTCTTTGTTTCATCCTGCTGAAATGTTGTGAAAGTGATGCAGAAGCAGACTAAATTACTTGCCAACAGAATCATTTAAACTGTCGATAAAAACTGAAGAGTACAATATTCAAACATTTTTAAGATTTTACTAATTCAATTCATAAAGTTTGGGATTTTCAAGTTAATTCAGAGTTAAAAATATTCCTGTAAGAGATGAACTTCGATTTATGAAATAATGGTTTACATTGTTGAAGACTAAAACATGGAGGAATTTCGTTTCGTCACACCATGAAACTTATCAACATTGTTCAGTTAAGACTTCGACAGAGATGAAAGATAGTGTATACAACCATCTATTCAGTATTCTTCAGTTTTCATTAGATGATGATAAATGCTCTTGGCTTACAGTAGTAGTATTAGGAAACTATTTTTGTGTAAATTTAACTGACATCATTGAGTAGTACTTGACAAATGAAAAGTTTATTCGCTTTTTGTTAATGAAAGCTCTTACTTTAAAACAATGTACTGTCTGAGGCGTTCAATATCCTATTGTCTAACTATTTTTTGGATTCAGAATCTATTGAACTATTTTTCAAATTAGATACAAGTTAGAAGAAATATAAACATGCTTATTTAATGTCATAATTATATTATTTTTTTTTAAAGGTTTTGTTTATGACTGAATTTTAAAAGTATTTTAAATAGGTAGTTGATAGCTTGCTTGAAACTAGTCTACAGTACAATTTCGAGGTATTAAATGTCACAAAAGACAAAAATACTACGCTCAATTGCTTGTCTACTTGTCACTTTACGTTGAGATGAACATCATGAAAAAATTAATTTTTATTTTGTTATAATATCAAACTAAAGAAAAGTTGTCTACAAATGCCACTATATATTGTTTGCAAATGTAGTTAATGCTTATTACAGGTTCTTTGTACTTCTACTAACATAACTAGATGTTTTTTTCAGACAGTCTTGTGATACTGTTAGAATTCAGTCAGTTAAACTGGTGATCTAATATATATTATAGAATAGGTTGCAAACATCCCACATAATGACTGAAAGATATAACTTGTAAGTAGTAGTTATAAGTAATATTAATTTATGTAATTGTCATTTACGATGAAAATTCAATGTTTAAATTCTTCGGCTTTTGATGAAGGCTAAGCAAGTAGTTGGAAACTAGGAGATAAATAATAATTCATTTTCTTTCGTTCAAAACTTTACAAGAGCGAAAAGCCGCTAGTCAGTCAAGGACTGACACTAAACCGTACACTTCTTGTGACACGTGTAGATGCTTAGATCAAGAATATGTATTTTTCATTAGATTTTTAAGTTCAAATGCTTGATGAAAGGACAGCTTTCGAATGAAAGCTTATAAATTCAATAAAATGTGCAACGGGAATATAGGAATGTAACTGAAATAGATTTATACTACACGAGAACAAAAAAGAATATATATATACTTTTAATCTTATGAAAATGATTATTTACTTCCTGTTGAGCTTCAGAATGACCCAGAAAATTGAGGATCTTTCTATATCTTTTAGATCTATGATTCATGTTGCACAATTCAAACAGTCAATTCATGAGACATTCAATAGATCAAAAGGTTGATAACCTTAAGCTTAGCGGTTTTATCATGTGATATTATTGACTTCGAAAGTTGCCTCATCAACTTATACTTTATTTTCCATGTGAGTGAGCTAAAATCAAACACTTAGTTTATGTATATATGCTTTCTTTAGGGTTAGATAAAATTTATTCCTTTGAGCACATAGACATTACAAAATAATCTTTTTCTTAAAAGTACTAGACTAAGGAATGAAATTATTTGTTGTCAAACACTCTGATACTATATCAGTTGATCATAATAGTGATATTAATCATAATTTTTTCTCAAATAGAATCAATAATCAAATGCGATAAAATTAAAACAATCTCAAGAAACATTGAACACTATGTTTCCTAACATAAAAGTAATAAATTTAATTCAAGCAAATCAACTTACATATCATCATTCATTTTATTTCAAGAAAAAAAATAATTTTTTGGAAAATTTTGACTTTCTTCAATAAGAATGAGTGATCAGCAGTAATAATTATAATAATAATATTAATAATAATAATAAGTCCTTTTTCTTCTACACTTGCAAATAGCGTTATGTATAATTCACTGAATAAAAAATTTCCTCCATTTATCAGCATATATTATGTAGAGTATATTGTGAAATCAAATTAACATTATTCGGGATATTTGGAAAACTATAGTTGTGTTCAGTTAAAACATTTGATTGGTTGTCTAAAGTGGCCAATGAAAAAAAGATATATTTATAAGAATATCTAACCTACTTGAAGTAATAATAGTCTAGTGTATGATATATAACTTTTCTGTACTTTTGAATTAGTTTTTGAAATATCAAAAATATATGCCAGAAAAGAATGATCATTAAATCTTTAAATGCATGAACATAATAAGTACGGTGTACTGTTTTCTAAGAAATCGCATTTTTTGTATTTATCAGATTATGTAATAAATACAAGAATGGTTTCCCTAAACTGATACAAATTCTTAACACTCGAACGCTTCTTTCACTTGTTACTATATTTATTGTTTAGAGATAAATAAAAAAAAGACAGTTCATAACTGGAAAAATTTGAAAAAGAATGAACATTTTCGTGATATTTAGTGAGAGAATGCAACTGGACATCGGTTTGTAATATAAATTGCGGAGTCTTACTCCTAAATTTATATGAACAAGGCTCATTCGTAAAATGTTAACCTTTTGTGACGGACGTTACATCCCAAGAACTCACTTGATAAAGGTCCTAATTTTGGAATTTATGCTTTCGCACATGGGCTGATCAGTTGACCAAGAGATTACATTTCCCATTCGGAAAAAGTCCTTGACTATCATTGGTTGATGCGTTATTTTAGTACGCTATTTTTGTGGCTTTCCGAAAGATATTTCTATCATGTATAAATAAACTTGATTTATGTCCTTGAGAACATCATATTTTCTGGGTGCTGGGAGAATATAATTTCTACACTGTATCAAGACTTCTTGTCTTCATTTAGACGGAGCAACGGATTAGAGTAGCCTATCGAGTCACTTTGGTGGGCGGCCTATGCTCCATTGGGAGTAACAGGCGTAAGTAAGTAGTAAGTATCGAGTCACTTGATCATTGTCTCATTCTCGTTACCGACTAAGGTGAACTCGTAATAGTTTCAGTCTGACTAGCGTAACACCTTTTGAAGTTTAATCTTTTATGATTTTAAGTATTGGCCACGATACAACAGTAGTGCACAATGGAGGAAAATATAAATGAAATAACTGAAAATTAGTTATATCAGACAGTGGTCATTATTAATTTATGATGTTATACTCAAACAATTTAGAATTAAGTCATAGATTTGTAGTACCTCCACATACATTTGAGTTTATTCATATTTAATTTGATTAAACCTTTTAATTAAATTATTTACCCGAGCCATCTGCGTAGCAATATCGTATATGTACCATTGCCTTTTTTTATTGTCTAGTTTGTATGAGCTGGTCCGACTGGAAATCACTTACCGCCTACGTACATACTCATCCTAATCGCTTTAATGTTCAGTATTTCAGTATATATATATGCATATATGTATATATATATGTACATTTTAATCCTATTCATTCAATAGCTTACTCGCTCATTCACTTGCTTGCCCTTCGGCATTCGCATATTGTTTTTACCTCAAGTGCCTGTGGTTTGGTGGTCTATTTGTAGTGCGCCAAATAAAAGTACTTACCACTCTGAATTCCTCTTTTGATTTTTAGTTGTAGTTGTAGTGAGTCATTCAGTGTCGCGTTCACATGACTTGTTCCACTTGTCTTTTGACCTTGTCTCTCATTCGTCGCTTTCATTTTTGTGCGTGCAAGCCTACTAGCTTAATGCATGTCTGTTTTATTTTTGTCTGACTATGAATTCTTAGTCATGCTTTATCCCTCGGAGTTGGCTCACTGGCCTTCTCCCATCCGCATATTTGCCCGCTGGTGTGTCTGCCCAGTCTGCTTGTGGTCTGCTGTCCCATTTTGTGGTGTGCTGAAAATAAACGAAATCGACACTTCATATTTGCTTTCTGATTTATAACCATCAGCCGTTATTTGGTGCTGATTACCTAGACGAGCGAATTACTTAAGAAGACTAAGAACGCGTCAAGACCGGCCAACACATAGTAACGGTTGTCTCGATGAGCAGCATACGAAGTCTAAGAAACTATCGAATACCGACCGCCATGAAGCTAGTGAGGCACTGTTCACCACAGACTAATAGGGCATACTTATTTACCGTAAACTGTTTACGTGTCATTCATTTGGGTACTAGCCCTAACTGGTTTTCAAACGCAAATACGAAACTAACTGTATTAAGATTTTAATATGAATATAACATTTGTATGAAGTTACATTCAGACAACCAGTTCTAAAAAAGGACGAAATGTAAATCAAGAGCTTCATTTCTAATCATCATTTTAACTCTAGTCTGGATTAGTTTTGTAATTCATAAAAGCTATCTGTAAATACTTGCAAATTAGTGACCAGATGTATAACGTCAGGAAAAAAAGAATTATTTACGGGTATTGGGACTGAAATTTCATTATTTTGATGTGGTTATTAATTACGTGATATGATGAAATTTCACACGATAGTTTAATTTTATATTTTTCTTAAACTTAAACATTCTCATGTTATGTTACATCATTGTTGAAGTTCATTTTTTATGTTACTTGAATAATGATAGTCAAAGGTAAACCAGATAGAAAATTGTTTCAAATGGTTAGGTAATTTTTTTTCTGAGTCTTTATTTAACGAAGGAGACTGATTGTATCATTGTAGGATTGAATTATATCTTGTACTAGAAACCTGTGTTCATTAATTATCCGTGAGAATTTACGGTAAAGAAATGAGAAAAGTCTGTAAATAAGACATGATTAGTTATTAGTTAACAAATTTAAAGAAGAAACAAACTAGAGTGATATGAAAAAAGGGAACTTTGGAAGTTTCATTTGTAGGGTATCAAGAAATACAACATAAAGTTTGAATAGAGAAATAAGAAGACATATTTTGTGAGATAGTAGTACCATTTCGTGCTTCCTCGTCAGTCACATACAAGCAAACGATATGTCGACGATATTCTTGTCATATTACCACATTCTACAGACATTAATGAAATCAATGATTTATTTAATGCGATTCACCCGAATCTGAAAGTCACTTATGAGGAAGAAAAGAATAATGAACTAGCCTTTCTAGATATCCTGCTCCATCGCCGTCCAGACGAATCAATCAGACGAAAAGTACACCGCAAACCCACCTGGTCGGGATAGTACCTCCACTTCACTAGTTTCTGTCCCATACAATATAAACGTTCTGTTGTCAAAAATTTATTCGCTCGAGCAAGCAGAATCTGCACTGCTGATACATTGAACGACGAATTCAAGTTTATTACTGACACATTTAAATCAAACGGATATCCCGAAACGTTTATTGGTCATCAGAACACAACTATGACGAAGCTGATAGCAACTGATGTGCCCAAGAAACCAGTGTACCTACAGTTACCTTTCAAAGGTGATCATTGCATGAAAATTACAACCAAACAGACTGCAGCTACAATAAAAAAGGCCTTCAATGCAACTCATCTGAGGCTTATCACAACAACCCAATCGATCTCAGTTACCCCAATCAAGTCTCCAAGACCGATTCAGTCCAAATCCCACTGTATTTACCAATTCACATGTAACTGCGGAGAAAGTTACTTAGGGAGGACGGATCGCCGATTGGAAGACAGGATAGGGGAACATATTCCAAAATGGCCAATCAAATCCATGTTTCATCAACCTAGCCCATGATCTCAAAATCGATCAAGAAACCCAGCCTTGTCCATCGCAAAACATCTAATGATGAGGGGTCATCAAATTGACCCAAAATCAGCCTTTAGAGTTGTGACATGTAATCAAAACCCACACACACTGAAACTACTCGAAGCTATCTTGATTGGTCGGAAAAGTCCAACTTTATGTGTTCAAAAACAACTGTATGTTGACCTTTGTTTACCATGGTTCTAGTGAGTGAATGTCATGCTAAATAAAAAAAATTTTGATCTCATCTTCAAAACTGTATTTACACGAATAACATGTTGCTTGTATGTGACTAACGAGAAAGCACGAAATGGTACTACTATCTCACAAAATATGTCTTCTTATTTCTCTATTCAAATTTATCAAAGGGAACCACTGTTTTGAACAACATAAAGTGTGAACAGAGATTTTTAGTTCGAACTATTGAATAATTAGCATCTTTGTAGCATAAAACTAATTAAGCTGCTTCTTTTCATGTTGATAGTTGAGACCTTGAATGACATAGCTGAAAATCGTTTGTGATCTGAGTCACATTGGTAGATGTAGGCTATCTGGTTAAGGTCCGCTAGACGATAGTGATTGACGGTTAGAGACTTGAACGACATGGCTAAAAACCATTTGCATTGGCGCAAGTGCATCCACTCTTTGTATTCTCTCAAATTCTAGTCTTCTGAATTCCTCAACACCCTTGTCTTTCCCTATCTAAATTTATTTCACTGGATTATACTTCTTGGATAATATCTTCGAACCCTAATCTTCTCCATAACTGCTAATACTTCTATTATCGCTACCACTATGGGACTTGAACTGAAAACTGCATCTCTGTGTGAATTTGGTGTGGCAACTTGAACCTATAGTACGCACGTACGTACGAAGTTCAAAATGTTGCTTGCATATCCTATACCAAATATAAAATTTCTTCAAGAAAATTTAGTCAAACTATATACATGCATTGATGTCATTAGATTTGATCAACAAACTGTTCAATGTTCAATTCCATAATAATATAATAAAGATATTTGTTATCTTATCAATTTGAATATGTAGAATTTTCTTCATTAAATAAATTGTTCATACATTTATCCAATTTATGTCTAAGCTAAATAACATTTCACATTACAAAA